ATAAATAATAAATGAAGTCATCGAGATTAATTGCAGAAAGAACGGCGGTGATAATGCTGCTGCAGCTGCTGCTGGTTGCGGTGGTAGTGGTAATAGTTAGCCGGCTAGCCACCAATTTGGCTAATGCCCACAAGATCGCATTACCGCAGTTTGCAGTGCTCAAGGTGCAAACCTTTCTTTCGCCTACTATTCAGTTTCAATAGTCAAAAACCGAAAGAACAGCAGCAGCAATCTATCCGCAAATTAATCTACTCCGCAGCCCGTGGGCACGCAAATAGACCGAGGCTTGCTCTCACTCACTCTGCAGCGCTCACTGTGTCTGTAGTGCGACGCCCAACTTTCGATAGGCAATATTAGTTAGTACGGTATTAATGGAGTGATAAATAAAGTGCCACCGAAAGACAATGATGCCCGCCTGCCAACAGGTAGAACAGTGAGCTGGATGCAGTCGCTGGTAGATTTATGGGGCTAATTAATTACCAAACTGAAAGAATGAAAGAGAAGGAGATAGACGGATGGATAGATGGATAGATGTGCGAACGGACGAACAGGCACACACAGTCGGACGGTCGCAGACGATGACGCCTTTACTCCGTCTGATCTGCCTGGTTGGGGCTGCTAGCCAGCCAGCCTGCGACTACAGTGGTTGCTAACAAAAGACAAAGCGAGAAATAAGCTGATCTGAAGCAGCTAACGTCATAATTTGCCGGCACCACCATCGGCTGACCACAGCCCNAACAAAAGACAAAGCGAGAAATAAGCTGATCTGAAGCAGCTAACGTCATAATTTGCCGGCACCACCATCGGCTGACCACAGCCCACATGTTGATGTCGCTTGGGGCACCTTTCGCCACATGCTGCTCTTTGTTTCTCTTTTTCTCGTTCTTTTTCTCTCATTATGCATTGTCTGAGCATCCGTTTGGGTTCACATTCACTAATTCGCACTGTCCGACAGGCCGATCGGCGGGTCGTGCTTTGGTTTAAACTCGGCAATTCAATTACCAGTCACGAGCAACAACAAAAACGAAAAAAGTTTTGCCGCATCTTTAGAAAATGCTTGAGTAAAAACTTCATACTGCAATATTTGCTGTATTGTAGGCTTAAGTTGAAGCAATGTTTCACCTCCTCTCCTTCTAAAAACACACAGAGAATCAAGACACTTGAATAACAGAAATGGTGCTAAATGGCCACTTAATTAGCGCCCTAATGGATTGCCAATATCGACGGCGGTATAATAATAAAAGACTAAAGAAAACACTTAAATGGAAGAGAGAGAACACTGGAGAGAAAAACTGATTGGTTATAATTAGCTACCACTTGATGGTGTGCAGACGCATTGCCTGTCCTGGTGTTGCCTGCACCGCTCACCTAGGCGGATGTATCACCTAGGTGTCAACAGGTGCTCAGCAGGCCATCACAAACAGCCAAAGCGAACAAGCCGACCACTTTACCTTATCACAGGCAAGCCAGTGGACGCGGGTCAATTGAGAAGGGACTCACAGGGCATCAAGCAACAAGATGCACTTTCATCTGTTCTTTTTCCTATTTCTATTGCTCACAACCACCAGCACTACCACTACCACCACCATCATTATGCCATTTTAGGTTTTATCCCGTGCTGATTCAAGTTTGTCAGAGGTTATTGCTCAACAAAGTAGCCTAGGTGCTGGCATCAAGCCACTGCAGTCAATTACTGAAAGAAAGATCTCTAAAGGAAAGGCAGCAGCAACAGCAGAAAATGACGATGGCCAGACAAAAGGTGTGAAGTGGTGCAGCGAGCAGTGTGGTGTTTGGCACAATCGTATGTTAATTTGCACATTCTCACCCTAAAATAACTCATAGATAAGCGCAGAAACAGTTAAAGATTCAGCTGGAACGCTACTTCCATTTGCCTAATGGAAACTACTCTCGACGTCAACACGTCCCACAATGCTCATTTTGTGCAAAAACATTGGATAAAGACACAAGCAATGCACCAGAAATGATCATTGCCAACATCTAATCTGTTTTGCCAAGCAGTCGTTAGCTTTACACTTAATTGCCACTCAATCGACTGTTGGTTGATCTTCTTTTCCGACTCCAGCGACAGCAGAAAATATAATGAGAAATTGCAGTGCAATTGTGATCCAAGGAAGGAGTGACATTTTTTTCAGGCACACTTTTGTTAGCCAGGCAGGTCAACTCTCTATAGAAAGTTGCACATCTGCGACTCAGTGGGAGGCAGAACACTCTCTTTCTCGATCAATCGTCCTTATTTTGTTCCTTCTACAGCTTTCTGTGCACACACAGGCAGACACACTGCTCGATAATGGATGTTCGATGACAATCGAATGCCAGTCTGATCATTGGCCAGCTAGCAGCAGCAGCAGCAATANAGGCAGAACACTCTCTTTCTCGATCAATCGTCCTTATTTTGTTCCTTCTACAGCTTTCTGTGCACACACAGGCAGACACACTGCTCGATAATGGATAATGTTCGATGACAATCGAATGCCAGTCTGATCATTGGCCAGCTAGCAGCAGCAGCAGCAATGAACAATCAAGCCGACCGCCATTGATATGGCCGCTGCGATTCTCAATCTCCTCAATGAATGAGCGCGGCATCATATCGAAGGGAGAGAAAGAAAGAGAGCGAAGCAAACTACAACTAGTACTACTACTACTATTGCAAAGTTGAACTGACTAAAGACTACTACTGTCTGTCTGTCTGTCGGACAGCATCAGCAGAAGTCAGTCAGATGTCTACTACTTTCGCTTTCTAACACAGTACTAGGTTGCATTAGTGAAAAGAAGAAAAAGTTTGGCATGGATGGTATAAGCGGAAGCGCTGCCTGGCTGCCTGGCAAATGGCGGTGGACGGCGGCAAAGACAATCACTAGTACTTTGGCGGCGCTGTGGGGATGCTAATGGACGGCGAGGTCGATCGAGCGGCAGACGTCGATGGATCGATGACTGGAGGATGGCTGGCGGTTGAGTCGCAGTGATGCCGATGCTCTCTCTCGGGCGCTCACCAGCGAGGCATCAAGACACGTTCGCGCGCCCGGCGACGATTAATTGACGGCATCGGAGATTGCGGCCTTTAGATTGGATATTGCCAATTGGCCGCAAATAAGGCACATCACACAGACAAACCGACATAGAGACAGACACATTGAGTCTTGTCCACTGTGGATGAGGATGAAGAAGAAGAAGAAGTTGTATAGGAAACAAATTCGATAATCACTAATCGGCCGTTCGTTCGTCCGTTTGCGCTCTCTCTCGCTGGGGAGAGTGAAAATAGAAACGAGCCCGATAATTTATGGGCAGCAAAGCATGACATGACTTTGGTCTGTCTCGCCGCGCTCATAGCCATTAATTTTGATCTAAATTTACGCCGCTGCTGTTCTTGCTCTATGACAGAGCTGCTGCTGGCTCCACTTCAAAGGCGAGAAAGAGTGAGAGAGACATCTTCAGTCACACAGACAGCAAACACCGTAACGGTCGCTTTCCCATGCAAATGACGTCCAGTATGGCCCCGGTGAGTTCAACGCTGTACCTACTGAACACTGTTGTGCCCCCACCTCGACGGCTTGATTCATCATTTCTTTTTACTACAGTCATCTCAGTTCATCCATTGATGGACTTTATGCTTTTGACCTAGAATCGTCGATGACCAATGGTGTTCAGCAGAGGCAGAGTGTGCTCACTGTCAGTGCGTGCTAACATTGAAATGGTGTAAAATATATTCTGAGAAAGCGGCTACAGTAGATGGACGCCAGTGAGACTGCTGACCACTACCTGACGAATATGTTCTATGTATGGCCATGAGCACTACTCGCGACCACTATGATTGATGTCCTTGTCGGCACCATTGTGGCCGGCAACAAAGTGAGCAGGGGCAACACACTCTCTGGCGATCACTGCAAATCTCTGCAAGTCGTCAGGCATACTGTCTGTCGGCCTATCTGAACACAGCAGTGCTGCTGTACTCATTACTAGTCAAGTTCGGCGGAGCATTGGTTAATTGCCTGGAGATCACCGCTGAAGAGAGGGGCTCAGCAGACTCTATTCGTCTCGTGCCACCGACTGTCTCCGGTTGTTGTTGCTGCTGCTGCTTTTGTGTCCTCTTCACACTAATGCCGGTCACTGCTGTAAATAGCTGTGTGGCTAAATGTTTCAGTCTCGTTCACCACTCTTCACCACCTTACTCATTTCCTTCACTTGGACTTGTAGTTCCACAGCAGGGCGACGACTCTGGCACCAGGCAAACTATCTTTAAAAGGTGTTCACAACACGACAACGTCCAGTGGCACTTGGCAGCAGCAAACTTTCCCATCATAGCAAATTAAATTAAAGCCGATAGAAACGGTGTCATTTAAAAGGTATATGGCCATTGAATGTTAGTGCAGCATCAAAGGAGTCATTTATCATTGGCTAATGTTTGGCAGTGTGTCTTTAAATGTGCAGCAGCAGTAGCAGTAACACTGCCTACATGCAAGTGCCTGAGCATTAATTGGCCACACTGCCACCAAATCAGCTACTGCATAACACCGGGCGTCAGCCCGGTGCAAAGTTCAAGATACCTGCGAGATTTTTGGCGTAGATATTCAAGAAATATAGTGTGATTTTTTGAACCATATTTCAGATTTTTGTGGTGGGACCACTTAACTAAAAGTAATTTTAAATAAAATTAATTTTACATTTCATTTTTGTGTTAATTAAGACATTTCCACGAAAAAACAATTTGCCAAAACTTTTTTTGAATGTTTTGAATTTCGGTAATATGTCCTTTTCGACAAGTTGATTTTTCAAAGATAACTTTTGATAGTCCCACCACAAAAATCTGATACATGGTT